AAGACCACCATTAAATTTGACACAGATCTCTAAAAAAGTTATCACATGGGTGTGAGACATGAATTTGCTAGATATCTGTGCCAAATTTAGTGGTGATCCTTTGGCATCCTACACACATGGGTGTGAGAGGGTCTCACAAGGTCATTTCGCTAATAATAGAGTAATGATCCTATGAGACCTTCACACACCCATGTAAGTAGGACCTTAAAATATCACCGTTAAATTTGGCATAAATTTCTAAAAAGGTTATCACATGGATGTGAGACTTGACTTTTCTAAAGATTCATGCCAAGTTTAATGGTGATCTTTTGAGGTCTTACACACATGGGTGTGGGAGGGTCTCACAAGGTCATTTCCCTACTAATAGAGTAATAATCCTATGAGACCCTCCCACACCCATGTGTGTAGGATCCCAAAAGAACACCCTTAATAATAATAATAATAACAATAAAATAATAATAATAATAATAATAATAATATCAAATTTCCCTCTAAATGAGCACTATAATTTTATTGACTTTATGATCCGTACAAAAGGACATGATGATAGGACACACATGCACCAATTGAAGCCCAACTGAACAGTATATTGTAAAAGATGGATTTTTTCATAGTAAAATCAATGATAAGATTATATTGTTTTTGAAAGTTGGTCTTTTGGTTATCTCATGAGATTGTATACAATGAGACTATTTACCTTTAATATAGAGAGGTTACAATTACTTATAACCATCTGATGTGAAATCTGATCGTTTTGGTGTGTCACAAAGTTTAAGAAATTTTTTTTTAACTTTGATCTTAGTCAATGAAATAAATACAGTCACCCAATTTCACATCCAATGGTCAAAGTTAATTGTGACCATCTTGTACCAAAGATAAATAGTCTCATGATATAATTTCCCTATCTGTTTTATATTCTTATGTTTATTTTAAAGCCTCTAACTTTGATAATCCATGACTCATACCGACAAAAGAAAGTGTTCAATTCTTAAAATGCCCTTATAGTTTTTCAGAACAACATTTTATTTTCAAAATGATGACCATGCTCCTCTTTGAAAAATTGGCCCTTTCTTGGAGAAGATTGTCGTGTCAAATAGGGTAGGTGTATAGTAGAGACATTAAATAATTATTTTTCATATAGAGTACTTGGTTTTTGAGTTTTTTAACTTGTACACATGCAAATGTCTTTTTCGGGCTTTATTTTTATTATTATTATTTAAGTTTAGTTGCTAGGTCGAAGATGTAGCATCCCAAATTTGAGGTCATAAATAAGGAAAATGATCTAATGCAACAGTTGTATAGTAGTATAATGCAACTACACATCTAGAAAACCATATTTTTGGCATTTATATGACTCCAAATTTTGCACACACATTATCTTTATCCTCATAATCAATCCTACGAAAAAAAAAAAAAATCAATTTGCACCATAGATATGGTCAAAATTACTACCCATCCAACAATCAAACTCGACCGTGTGTTTGGTGAATTTCAAGATCTAGGCCTTAAAAAATTTAAAATCACTTCTTTCTTTTTTTAGCATTATTAACTTAATGATGATAATACAATATAAAAATTTTGAGAATAAAAAAATCCTTCTAAAACCTATATCTAACCATCTCAATAACATGAACAACTTATATTAATTGGCTAGAATAAAAACTTTCTAGACCATTTTTTCAAAATGTTCTTTTTTGTGATTGTTCTTCAAAATATAAAGAGTGTACATTTAAAAATTCGTGTCAAACAAATGTCTTTAACAGGGTTTTTGAAGATGGTTGCATTCTACTACTATACAACCGTTGCATGAAATCACTCCCCCATATAATGTAGAACTACAGATGCACCTCAAAAATCCATCGGAAAAGGTTGTTTTAATGTTGAAAAACCCTTTGAATGATCATCTCGACATCGAGATGTATGACCATGAAAAATAAAAAGATTTTAAGTCTCAGAAATAGTTCATTTTATAGCATATTATCTACATCATCTATTTTCAATATTTTCATATGTTTATAGATCTACTTGATTTTAACTATTTTTTAAATTTAAAATTTTATAATTAGATATAAAAATAAATTTTGAGATAATCCTAAAAATATTTTACATCAAAATTATATACTATGATAAAATTTGAAGGTGCACTTTACCTCTACACCTACGGATGCATCCGCATGCCGCGCCCTTAATATTCATACAAAGGGTTTACCGGAGGAAATGAACTGTTCATATATTGCAACACAAGCATTCAAATTATTGCTCTCATAGTAGAACCTCAAATTCCTTTTATGGTAGGCAATCTAAATTTTTTAATATTGTACGTTAAGCAATTTATTAGTTTACATTGAGAACATGTTTATACATTTATCAAATCCTTTAGCCCTTTTCATATAACACAATAGAATCAACCTTTAATAATCAGTTTTAAATAACATCACTTTTATAAAATGGTGTCCTTAAGAGTTCTCCTACGCGTAGAATATTTCCTTAATAAACTTATCATTTTTGGGGACTTTGTGCCCTTACAATAAAATGTAATAATTTTTTTGTCAATGTGTTTTATAGGTAATTAATCAACTAGAAAGAAGAGTTTTTAATAAAAATAAAAATATTTATTAATTATAGTGGTGACCAGAGAATAACATCATCAACCAAAGGTATGACGTAAACTATATAGAACATTAATTATTTTTTAACAACTAATAAAATATCCATAATTCTTATAAAAATATCTATTCTATGCTTCCTAATAAAATAGCATGTATTCAAACGTTCTACTGCCAGTACTAATAGATGAGCCAAAAAAAAGGGGTCCATTAAATGCTTGGACTCACTAATGGACGGGCCACATATTCGTGGCACAAGACAAGAAAGACTTGTGAGACGCACTACTCAAGACAAGAAAGACTTGTGTGATGCACTAATAAAGGGAGTAATAAGACAATTGAGAGCAAAATGCCAAGTCTTATTTATGTTTTGTGTCTTTTTATTTTTTTGGTGGTAGGTCACTTCAGATTAGGACCTTTAAGACAAAGGACCTGGTATTTATGCGGCCAGCCCGGCATATATAAAAATATGGATCTCTTAATAAATCTATTTTTGAGATGGATTATAGGACTTATTTGTTACATATATGTAATCTTTAACATGGAGATTATGAATTTGAAAAAATAAATAAATTTTAAAACTATAAATAATAATTCTAATAAAAAAATATTTAGACCGGTAGTTTCTTTTGTTTTTAGATAAAACACCTACTTGCTTTACATTTCCTGGATCGCCTATGTAAATATGCGGTCGCGTATGTAAAAATGCGGTCCACCCCGCATGAAACAATTTTCCTTAAAAGTAAAATGCTCATCTTCTTAGTGGGCTCCTCTAAATTTGACAAGCTCCTATTACCTACGTAATATGAAAGCATTTTTTCGATGGTCGGTCCACATTAACCTGCCGTAACTTTTGAGGGCCCCTCTAATTTTAGGGAGCCCTATAGACGCCAACACTTCAACTAATGGCAGGTTTAAATAAGTTTGGATGTTATCCACCGTTAAATTATTACATATTTAGCCAAAAAATTGATAAAAAATGATTTTTTTTTAATTTTAGAAAACAACAAAAAAATTATTCAAAATTAAAAGATGGTAAAAAATAAATCTATTTACCTTTAATATATGGAGATTACAATTACTTTTAACTGTCTGATATGAAATCTAATAACTTGCATGTATTACAAAGTTCGAGAAAAATTATTTTGAAGTTTGAGCTTGGTCAGTGGAATAAATGCAACCATCCAATTTTACATCTGATAGTTGAGATTAATTGTAACCATCTTGTATCAAAAATAAATAGTCTCATTGTATACAATCTCTTTAATTTTAGTAAAAAGATGTTGCAATGCTTTTGTCATTCAGATTTCAAATCGGGTAGTTATAAGCATGTTATTGACTGGACTCAAAGTTCTAAAAATAATTTCTTGAACTTCGTGACATCCAATTTGATATTTAATGACTAAGAGTGATTATGATCTCTTTGTATGAAAGATAAATGGTTTCATACTATACAATCCCAAAAATAAATGGTTTCTTTGTAAATTTTTCCTATTGTTATACTTGGATGCCAAAATTCAAATAAAAAAGGATAAAAAAAAAACACTCCCAAGGAAGTCTTTTGGCCAAGGACATAAATATATAGTATGCTCTGGTACGAGCATAGTATACATAGATATACTCATATCAAAGAGCGAATATACTATGCTCCCCATGGAGCAATCGCGTGTATCTCCTCCCTCACTCAAAACACCTACTTAGGAGAATTGTCTAAGTCTAAACTTTTGGAAAATACATAATAATTACTGGATGATTATTTTTAAAAGAAAAAGTTGACTTTTAAGTTTTGTGACATATAGATCTAGCTCTTCAAAAATAGGATGGTCTCTGTTCAATCTTGAGGCATAATTTTTTTCTAGAGATAGTATATTTCGAAATTTGGTTTTACTGATACTATTCTATAGTTTACAAAGATTACATTCACAAAATTTGATATCCCAAAAATATCCATAGCATGTATTTTGCCCGAGGGAGGAAATGAATAGTATCATCCCCGCAGGAGGAGGAAATTTTTTGTCTATATCAAATTGCTAATAAAAGCCAGTGGAGCATCCCTCTATTGCCTTTAGTTCTATCGAAGAAGGTTTTTCTGTATGAATCATGGCAAGAGGAGAGATGATGAGAGTCGGTTTGGTGCAAGAATTGGTTAAGGGGGGTCAAGAGATCCCCCATAATTATCTTTGCAAGGAAGATGGACCATCTGCCTTCGCTATTGATTCCAACATGCCTGTGATAGACATGAATATTCTCTTTTCATCATCATCATCTTCTTCTTCTTCTTCTTCTTCATCATGGGAAGAAGCAAGGAATCAAGAGAAACAAAAGCTCAAAGCTGCCTTACAAAGTTGGGGCTTCTTTCAGGTTGGTAAAGAGCCCCCTTTAACCTTCTCAAACTAACTGATTTCTTTCATTTTTCATCTCTCTAAGGTCTATCTTCAAATTACAAAAGCTTTTTCTTCTATAGGCCAAACCATAAAACTCTCCCCTCTATAGGATTCTTTGTGCGTGTGTGAGAGAGATAAGGGTGGCAATGGACCCAGACCGGACCAGGGACCTGAAGGCTAGATCCGATCCAGGTTCGGGTGTGGGTCTAAAAATTGGATCCGACAGATTGGGTTTGGGTCCAAATCTTGAACCCGAACACTATTTAGGTATGGGTCTAATTCGTCTCGTAATATTTTACAAGTCCCAATATATGAAATATATTTAAATATAGTTAAATAAATAGATATTTTTTAATTGCCAGATTGGGCCTGGCCCAATCCGACACCACCCATTGCCACCCCTAGAGAGAGATAGAGAGACAGATTGGTTAAAGATGAGAGTGGATGCAGGCTGTGGGGCATGGAATTTCGGAGGATTTGATGGATATGATGAGAAGATTAGCAAACAAATTCTTTGAGCAACCAATGCAAGAGAGAATGAAGGTGGGCCAAAGCCTTGAGGGTGAGCAAAAGGACTGGGTACAAGGCTATGGACATGATCCTGTAGAATTCCATGACCAAATAATAGACTGGGTTGATCGCCTATACCTCCAAATCTTCCCGGAAAATCAGATAAAACTTCAGTTTTGGCCAGAAAATCCAGCTGGTTTTCGGTAATATTCAGTTCCCAAACTTCTATGTTTGCTTTTTGTTTCTTTTTTTATGCTTGTCCTCACTCCTCACTATCCATTCGGGGAAATTTCATGCAAGTGGCTTAGAAACAGACATATTTAATGCAGGTGCTCTAGAAATCCTAATATAGGGAAGTAAATAACCACTTTTTATCTTGGATGCATAGGCTTTATAAAAACAAAATAAATCCTTACCTTGAATCTCCTCTAGAAGGTATTTTAGGCTTGGAAATCTCTATAATGACTCTATAATCAATTTCCAATATCGATTATGAAATTTGAAGTTAAAAAAAAGGTATAGATTTTGTGGATTTGTGAATACTTATTTTTAGGGTGAAAGGGATGTTCTAGATAATCTGTTACAATATACACTTTTTTTAGGGCTTCAAACCCTTTTTTTTCACGACCATAATGGCTAAGGCTAAAATGATAGATTTGAAGGTTTTTCAAAGCCAGAACCATAATTTCTGGTGAATTTTGAGGTGAAAATTTACTTATTTTGATAGGGCTGCAGCCCCTATCAAAACAATTTCCTTTTATCTTTGTTAGTGCAAAATTAGCCTTTGAAAGCTAAATGGTACGTTTCTTTGTAGTTTTTCCATGCTTTAGTACCTTTCTTGAACTCCGAAGTTCATTTGGCATAGTTTTGCTTGTGCGTGATAACAAAGGAAAAAGAGGAAACAATTACGAGGTGTCACTTTCTTTTTGCTTGCGCGAGAGCATAGTATAGACACCTCAATGACCACCCTAAGCAGTACCTTACCGCAATGGATACATACCCTTTAGAAACATGACTAAGGATAGTCATACTCTCATATTAATATACCAAAAAAATAATTTCATTCAAGAGACAATTTTTTATTTCACAACTCACTTGTTTTATTAGAATGCAAAGGGCACAATTTATAGGCATCAGGAGTGAATCTTTCTTCCTCCATTACGTCAAATCAAATAAAGAAAAAGATACACCAAATCCTATTTTACATCTATAAAAAAAAAGGAAAGTAAATAAATAGTAACACCTTAACATCACCTAAAAAATGCTTATAAATAGTAAAAAGCTAAGGAATAACAAAGGAAAAAGAGGAAACAATTATGAGGCGTTGCTTCCTTTTGCTTGTACGGGAGCATAATATATATACATCAATAGCCACCCGGAGCAGTACCTTACTGCAATGGACTCACACCCTTTAGAAACATGACTAAGGATAGTCGGGCTTTCGGGTTAATACACCACAAAAACAATCTCACTCAAGAGACAATGTTTTATTTCACAACTCGCTTGTTTTATTAGAATCCAAAGGGCATAGTTTATAGGCTTCAAGAGGGAATCTTGTTCCTCATTTACGTCAAATCAAATAAAGAAAAAGATGCATCAAATACTATTTTACATTCTATTAAAAAAAATAAGAAGTAAATGAATAGTAACACCTTAACATCACCTTAAACAAACTTATGAAAGGTAAAAAGTTAAGGAATAGTAAACTTTACATCTTTTCAAGAAAAAGTAAATGAATGGTTTTTACTATTCAAAAAGTGAATACATTGTTTCTATTATTCAAAAAATAAATGAATAGTGAAAAACTGATGAATAATAAAACTATGCAAAAAGTAAAAGTCACTTCCATGATTTCTATTTTCTTCGATTGGACAACTGTCTTCTTAGTCATCTTCAAGGACACACATTTTCTTCTTTGTAGGCCTCCTCAAGTTCTTCTTTTGTTTCTATTATGCTCGAAGCCATCTGAATTTTCTCATTATGAAAAATTGCCCTAATATGTCTAGGTGTTTTGGATGGCCATTGAGAGGTTGCGTGACCATCTTGTCCGAAAGAAAAATAGAGTCATCTAGGAGATGGATGATTATTTCTTTTATAAATTTATAAGGTCTAAACGATTATTTCTTGTACACTTTTCGGAATCTTGGGATATTATAGGTTTATGCTCATTGAATATTATTACATCCTCACGCAATTATTTTTGGAATATTTAGGGGCATTTATATTAAAACATAATTGTTTAACTTCTGATAAGTTAAAATCAATCACATATTCTAAGATCGGTGATTTTATCATTGTTCCCTCAGCTAAAACTATTTTCATTACCAGTTCTACTATAGCCCCTAGCAAGGCTACCAAATATATATTATTGCACATCGTCAGAGAAAATTTCAAAATCATCTATACCAGCCAATTTTTTCCTTGGTAATAGTACTAGATCCAATGCAATCAAGCCTAGATGACGACCCACAAATTCAGTATAAATCTTTTCTCCGAGCTCATTTAATCCCCTACATCTGACGTAATTTTTCACATCTTCTATTAATCCAAGCCACCAATGTAGGGATCTTCCTTGTAACATTCATGCAGCTCAGTTTACTGCATCGTCATTTGCCCATCTTCTGAGTTCTTGAATTATTGTATATTTATTTACCTAGGCTACAATGGTTTGCCCAGCTTTAGAATTACTTAGCATGTCAATGTTTATCAAAAGAATATCAATTCCTATATCTATAATTCCACTATTCCGTGAAGCGCTTAGCATTTTTTGTCAAAGAAGCAATTTTGAAAATCTCGTCGCCTTCTTCATTTATTAATTGATTCTTTTTAGGAGGAAGAAAAATGGATCGAGCTCCTTCAACTTTCTTTTTCTTATAGGCTTCTCTATATAGTTTTAAGTGTTCATCATGAACACTCATTATCTTTTCTTTTCCTTTTAGAGCTTTTTGTTCTTTATGGTACTTAACTTCTGCCAAAAAATACCATCAATATTTACCAAAGTTCCTAATTCATTTACATAACTTGGACATTTAAGAAAATGAACACCATAATGCAATTTAAAACATGTGACTGTACTATTTGTTAAATAAAAAATACACCTAGACCCTATGGTAACATATCTGGTAACAAATTGAAGAATAGAGTGGCCTATAAGAAAAAGTTGAAGGAGCTCGATTCATTTTTCTTCCTCCTAAAAAAAATCAATTAATAAATGAAAAAGGCGGTTAGATTTTTAAAATTGGTTCGCAGAAAAAATAGTAACAAGAGCTTTAGGGAATCGTGGAATTATATGTAGGAATTGATACTCCTTTGCTAAACATTGATAGGCTAAGTAATTCTAAAAGCTAAGCAAACTATTATAGCCTGCGTAAATAAATATGCAATGATTTAATAACTTAGAAGATAGGCAAATGCCGATTCAGTAAATCGAGCTGTAGGAATGTTACAAGGAAGGTCCCTATATTGGTGGGCTTGGATTAATAGAAGATGAGAAAAATTACATTAGATATAAGGGGTCAGAAAAAAGGTTTATACTAAATTTGTGGCCAGTCATCCCGGCCAGACTGCATTGGATCTAGTACGACTATCAAGGAGAAAATTGGCCGATATAGATGATTTTGAAATTGTCTCTGATGATTTTAGTACTGAATGATACTGGTTAAGAGTGAGCAAAAATGTGTAACACTACATATTTGGCAGCCTAGCAGGAGGCTATAACAGAAATGATGATAGAAACAATGTTTGCTAAGGTAACAATGGTAGAATCACATGTTTTAGCAGATGGGATTAGTTTTGATGGGATTAGTTTTGCTCGATCAGAAGTTAAAAAATTATGCTTTAATATAAATACCCCTAAAAAACTTCCAAAAATAATTGCCAAAGGATGTATTAATATTGAAGGAGCATAAATCTATTATATCCCAAGATTATAAAAAGTGTACAGGAAAATATCTTTTAAGCCTTATAAATTTTATAAAAGAAATAATAATCTAGCTCCTAGAAGGCCATGTCTTGCTTACATACAAGATAATCACGTAGCCTCTCAACACCTATATAGAGCACCTAGGTACATCACGACAATATTTCAGAATGAGAAAATCCAGATGGCTTGGAGCATAATAGAAATAAAAGAATAACTTGATGAGGCTTTTAAAGAAGAAAATGTGTATGCCCTCGAAGATGACATGTCCACTCGAAGAAGACATAGAGCACTGGCGTGACTTTTATTCTTTTCATAGTTATACTATTCATCAAATTTTCACTATCCATTTACTTTTTGAAAAGTAGAAACTTTCATTTACTTTTCAAATAGTAGACACTATTATTCTTTTACTTTTTGCTAAAAAGATGTAAAATTTACTATTCCTTAGCATTTTACTATTCATGAGCTTTTTTAAAGTGACGTAAATGTGTTACTATTCATTTATTTTTTCTTTGGTAGGATGTAAAATAGGATTTGATGTATCTTTTTTTTTTTTAATTTGATGTAAAGGAGTAACAAAGATTCCCTCTTGAGTTCTATAAATTGTACTGCTTGCATTCTAATGAAGCAAGCGAGTTGTTAAATAAAAAATTGTTTATTGAATGAGATCGTTTTCTTGTTTTATTAGCCTGGGAGCCCGACTATTCTTAATTGTATTCTTAAAAAAAGTGAGTCCACTGCAGCAAGGTACTATTCAGGTTAGCTATTGGGGTAGATTACCCATCGGGCTTGTAAATATTTTTTTTGTAATATTCATAGTATGCACACTCCTTTGTTTGTCTTTCTACATTAAGGTTCTAACTTGGAAGTGTTGGAGCAAGTTTTTTTCAGTCTTTGGTCATTATGGGTACACAATAGAGAAGAAGCACAAAAAGTTCGGCTTGAAGTCTTGTGCCTATTTTCAAATATTAATTTCGCATTTATGACCAAGGAAAACTTTTTGTCAGTCTCTAAGAGCTAAGACTATAATGTTTCCAACTCAAATCACAGTTGAGGTGGATGAGGGGGCCAGTATCACCACCAAATCATGAACCTTCATATTTAGAATTCTGAGAAAAAAGTTTTGACCCCTTAAAAATCATGTGTATGCATGCACACGCACATTTGTTTGCATCTATTTTATACAAAGGCAAAGTTGTTGCAGGGAATGCTTGGATGAATTGAGGTTGAAACTGAAAGCGTTTGCAGATAGGACCCTAAGCATCCTCGCAGAGTTAGTTGGTTTGAGAGATGATTATTTCACTGGCCGTTTTAATGATGAAGCCACCATGTTTTCGCGTTTCAATTTCTTCCCTCCATGCCCAAGATCTGACCAGGTCCTCGGCCTTAGGCCCCACTCAGATGGCAGTGGAATCACTATTGTCTTATCAGATACACCAGGCCTACATTTCCTCAAGGATGAGACATGGCACCAAGTATCTTTCCTTCCTCATGCTCTACTTGTCAACATTGGTGATCAAATGCAGGTAGCTAAGATTTCTTGAGGTGAATTATAGTTGACTCCTTTTTGTCGGAAAAATATATATATATATACTACAGTTAATTCTTCTTGGATTAGTGGGTAGGATGCATGGGCTTTATTTCTATGGTCTCGAGTTGGAATCCTCACAAAATAACCGAAGGGAAAACAGAAAAAAAGATCATCATCTTCTATGGCTAAAGAAAATGAACATTTAATGATTATTTCATACATGGTAATGCAAGAAACATAAATGATGATTTGGAGAGCAAAAAGAAAAAAGGTATAGGAAATTCATCAAAATACTCAGAAGAGATGGAACTATTTAACATTTTGCCCATTCACACCTATTCCAACTTAAGACCAGGCACTTTTTAATGGTTTTAAAATTAAATAAAAAAGATGTGGATATAAGTGTTAAATTGTTCATCTCTTAAGAATTATTTGATAAATTTACCAGAAAATAAAAAAGTTCTTCGAAAGGTTAGTATGCTATAAATAAATAAGGTGTAAAGTATATCATGTACACATTTGTATCTATTGTCTATCCCCAATTATGAATGGTGGAGATAAACAGTTGTTTGTATTTGGATATCTTCCTCCTTATTCCAATAACAGTAGTTTGTTAAAAAGTGTATGTCTATATAATTAGGCCTTAAGCCCTTATGAAAGATGTATTATTGAGCTTATCAAAAAATGTGAACAAGTGCTTCAATTTATATGTTTACAAAACTGTGTACTACTAAATATAGTAATATATGCAATGAACCACATTCTTAATATAGATACATATAAAAATAAATAAAATATTGACCCAATATTATATCAAAAAATAAGTGCAAGTTTCTATAATTTCCACACTCTCCCTCAAACTCAAGATGAGTTAAGAGTGAGCAACATGAATTTGGACAACTGAAAGCGGGCCTTAGAAACAAAGCAGGAAAAGAAGAAGAATGAGCAGCGGTAAATTAGCAATCCTAAAAACCAAAATCAACAGGCTTCCAGAATAGACATGATCGAGTCATGAAAAAAACTTGATCATCACACAGCATGGAGTAACGAAAAACTTCATCATTCAATAGGATTGAGTAACGGAAAACTCAATCATTAAACATGATCCAATAACAGAAAACTTGATCATCACACAGGATGGAGTAACGGAAAACTCCATCATCCAATAGAATCGACTAACAGAAAACTCAACCATTAAGCATGATCTAGTAACGGAAAACTTGATCATCAACCAGGATCGAGAAATTCAATTATCAAACAGGAGGCACTTGGAAGAGCCAACAGAAATTAACGGGGATCAACAGGCACAATTGTACCTTAGATGCGGAGTTGAGAACAGTAAGATCTAAAACATATCAAAGAGTCAAAAAACGACTCGACAGAGAGACAGATTAGAAAGTCGAAACACGACTCGGTGGCTATTTTGCGGATGGTGAATATCGGCCGTTTTCAGATGCCATTTTCAAATGTGGATCTAGCTCACCAAGAATTCGGCATCAAAGGCCATTTTTAGTGGCTAAATTTAGGGGTGGTGTTTGACATCTATGAAAAACAACCCAGATCAAAGTAGAGCAAAACAAAAAAACAAGAACAGAAAACCAGAAGAGAGAAAAAGACATATCATGAGTGCAAGACCAAAGCAATACAATAGACCACTAACCCTACCTACTCTTGTTAGGTGCAACTTTTTGTGAAAGAAAACTTTACAAAAGTAGATGGAGACGGAGTGATTTTTCCAAAGTTGGGAAGTTGAGCAAAACGGAAGTTAGAGTGAAAGAGGAAATTTCCCAATTTTAAGTCGCGCTCAAACCCAAGGGCATGGCATGCAAGATCGATAGAGGAAAAGGGAGGTTAGATAGAGAAACTGGAAATTTTCCAATTTTAAGTCACGCTCAAACCCGGCTATGCAAGATCGATGGAGGTAAAAGGAGGTTAGAGAGAGGAAGTGGAAATTTCTAATTTTTTGTTACACTAAAACCCAAGGGCATGCAAGTTCGATAGAAGAAAAGGTAAAAGAGGAGGCCGATTATCTTCCTAGATTGAATGGAGCTGCGATTGCCCTTCTCAGGCTCAAAATGAATTGAGCAATTGATAAGCCTGCGAAATTTGGTACAACTGAAAGAACCAAAAAGATTGGTGGTATAGACTTCGAAGCTCTTAAAAAGCAGGAGTATAAGTAGATAGTGTTGAGGAAAACGAGAGCTCCAGCCCCTAAAACTTTCATGGCTACTGAAAACATATGTTCTTGAAGGACGGGAGTCCAAGAGACCAATGAGAGGTCATAGAAGAGAGCGAAAGTGCTGAAATTTCCAACTATGAGGCCATCGATGTCAGGCAAATAACCACGGATGCTTGATCTTTAGTGACAACAGACTGGTGGATTAGATGATCCGCTTGGGATAGGATCCAGTAATAACAAATTAATAGACTCGATCATATAATAATGGATATGGTCAAGACGAATTTGGTTTTGATATCATGTTAAAAATTGTATTTCTGTATAATTGAGTCTTAACGCCCATGGAAGATGTATTCTAGGGCTTATAAAAAATGTGAACAAAAGCCTCAATTTATAAAGTTCCTCAATTTATAAAGTTATAATGGTGTATACTACTAAAAAAAAAAAGTAACATAAGCAATGAACCACTCTCTTAATATGGGTATATAAAATATTGTATCAAAAAATAAATATAAATTTCTATAATTTTCACAAGTAAGCACATTTCATGTAGAGTATCATTCATTCTTAACTCTTTTTTTAACCGTTTAACAAAAACAAACTAATGCGCTCTTAGAAATTTAAGAAGGAAAGCATGACATGTTCTACTTTTGGAACATATGCTGCCCTCAATGATAGGGAATGGAATCAGGGCATCATTGTTTAGGGGGCATGTGTTGCAACAGGACGTCTTAAGCTCTATTCTCACTGTTAACACTTCAAAAAAAATATGTTTCATTCCCACTGCTAACAATTCAAAAAGAAAAAAAAAATCCACTTCATCCATTAACACTTACAAAACAAAAAACAAAAAAATGCAATACCAAGAAAAGAAAAAACTTTCGTATTTTTTATTTAGTATATATTACGTTTTATCTAGCCCATTTGTTTTACTTCTCTCCTTCAACACTTACAACTTGTTTTACTTTTTTTTTTAGTTCATGTGCTAGCAGCTTGTGCATACATAATTGATTGGTTCCCAAAGTATAGTTTCAATTTAAGAGAAAATTGCCTATTTTTCTATGGATTTCAGGAAATTGGATTTGTCCTTCTGATTTAGATTACAGCAGAACTAAAAGTACAAAAACTAAACCCGAAAGTTCATGGATTGAAAGCAAAAATAACTCATAACATTTGGAGTCAAATATTTTCTAGCTGCCAATGTTCTTCATCCATTAATATTTGGTGGTTATGTGGAAATAGATCATGACCAATGGGATATTCAAGAGCGCGCTGCATAGAGTTGTGACGAATAAGGAGAAGCCAAGGATTTCAATGGCAAACTTCTATTTGATGGCACCCAACCAAGAATTGGGTCCCATAGAGAGATTGGAAGGTGAAGTTACAGTACCTATTTATCAGAAGATGAAGGTTCAAGATTATTCCAAATTATATGTAGATTGCCACATTAAAAGGAAGAGGGCAATAAATACCATCAAGATCTCTCATTGAGGCTTCAATCCAAATTTAACATTCACTTTGAATGTTGGACATCTAGGTATTACTAGTTGAATAGTTTTTATGAGTACTTGTATTCCATTAAACTTAATAGCAGTCTGCAAAAAAGATAGTTTGTGTTTGATTTGTGATAGGGAACTTGGATACATGCACAGACATTCTGCTGGTGCTTATAGCCAAAGCTTTGCAAAATGCTCATATGATCTTTGATATTCATATTGAATGCATCCTTGTGCCTTTCCTTCTTGCCATTGTTCTAGAAATGACTAGGGGCCCTAATGGGGCCTAATTATGTTGGATGCTTTTTGTAAGGATAGGCTTCTTGGATGCACCTTTTTAGTGAGTCCCCACACCCAAAATCCATCTAGGAGATGGATTTTGGATCCAATAATTTCCAGAGGCCTATCATCTAGACAACCATGATCTCAAATATTTAAAAAAATAAATAAATAAAACAAAAATAAATAAATAAAACAAAAAAACAAATAAAGGAAAGAAGAAGATGAAGAATTTGAAGTCTTAAAAATGACTCATTTTGTGCAATTTTTCATAGACCCTTCATTTTAGTTCTACAAATATCATCTGATTTGGGCTGTTTTTAGAACTTCAAATTCATTGATTTGTGGCAAAAGTAGATTTACAGTGATTTAGGTTGTGTTCTAAGTCATAAGTTCCTCAAAAACTAGGGTGAACGCATGAGTTGGCCAACTCTACCAAATAATTTTCCTTTTAATCAAGTTTTTAAAATTTGGTGAACCGGACTGAAACTGGCTAGTTCGGATTAATGCCTATCGGGTTCACGAATAATATCGGGAGCTTGCTATTTTTCTACTAGAACCGAAACAATCGAATTTTAGGAATGACGCTACAATTCCTAAATGTCTAGTTTTTAGAGAGAGAAAGTCACAATTTGTTTACTCTTAATAGAAATATATTTTTCAAGAAAAAAACATATCTCAGGAATGACGCCTTTATGTCTTCATAGAAGACTAAAAAAGTTATGTTATGAAGGAGAAAACTGATGTTAGGAAAAGTTTAATTTAGGGTTGGAAAAAATATGACCATGCGAGGGAATGTGCAAGACGCAAGGGTCAAGTGAAGTAACGTTTGGTTTATGTGTTTGTTTTGGGTTCGAATTGAATTTGCTTTTTCATTTGTTGGGTAAAAACTGGCTGTTTGATGCAAAGTGGGATGCTGTAAAATCAATGACTAAAGATGGGTTGCTCTCTTTTGCCACTTTTGGATCAGTTTCAGAAGCTATGTTAGCGCTGATAAGATCAATGAGGTCATAATGAGCTTTGTTGTCAAGGATCAATATGGGTGTCATCAAGGTGTTGCAGCATTGAATTCTCTTATGAATGCAATTTTCATTGAAAAGCAAACATCGAAAGTTTTTCGATAAGGTGAAGGCGAAGATTGCCCCTAATTTAGATACTTATGCTATAGTGTTGCACAATCATTCTCTCTTATTAGATGTCAAATTGGATGGCTAGGAGTGAATTCGAAAATTTTATTTTAAAACTGTCTATTTCTACTTTTTAAATACAATTTTTCTTTTTAGAACCGGTAGTCCTTTTGTTCTTCCCTCCTCTCTCTCCTAATTTCACCCCCAACTTGTATCAGTCTTTCAGCCCTGCCCTCGTCTCTTTCTCTTCCATACTCACTCTGTCTATGTCATAGGAAATTTGAGCAGCCCAATCAATCCCTAATGAACCAATTTGAATAAAAACTGAACCTGGTTTCATGAACAGGAAATGGGTCATGGCTGCTCCATGAACACCCACCATAACGTCACCAGAATTGAGAGCTCTGTAAATTTTTGCAAACTCAGTTAATGGGGTCGGGCTTAAGATCTTGACCTCGACTCCATTTTTCTCAGCTTCTCTCTCTACCTCTTCTTGATTCATTATCCCTCTTGAATTGTTTCGAGACATGATCACAAGTCTCGGCTTTCAGACCTCACTTCCTCTTCTCTCTCTTTCTTTTTTCTTTCCGCTTTTCTCCCCCTTGCTCTTTCATCTCCCCTGCCAAATTCTCTGTCCTCTCTCGTGCTCCTTTCTCTTTCCTCTTTTCTAAAAAATTAGAGAGAAAGCAGTTGGTTGAAGTATTCTTGATAAAAAAATTAGAGGTAGAGCAGTGGGTTGAAGTATTCTTGATAAAAAATTGAGAGAAAAAGAGTAGTGGGTTCAATGAAATAAATATTGTCGCTCAATTTCACATTTAATGGTCAAGATTAATTGTGACAACCTTGTACAAAAAGTAAATGATCTCATCGCACAGTAGACAGGAATGTGACAAATAAGGAGAAACCTAAAATTCCAACAGCAAATTTCTATTCAATGGCACCCAACAAAGAATTAGGTCCTATCCAGAGATTGGAAGGCAATGTGACAATACCTAGTTACAAGACAATGAAGGTTGAAGATTATTCCGAAGTCTTTGTAGATAGCGTTGTTAAAAAGAAGAGGGCTATACATACCATCAAGATCTCTCATTGAGTTAGTTGGAAAAAAGCTATGAAGATGATGAATAATTTTTATGAATGACTGATTTTTCCGAAAACTTCGTCTTCTTCTTTTTTAACATTTGCTTTTTCTATTAAACTTACTATCATTGTACAACAACAATAGTTTGTATTTGGTTCGTGACAGGGGACTGAGACACATGCATATAAATTCCATTAATCTTGTAATCAAAGTTTTGCCAGATGCTTATCTAATATTTGAATTCATATTAAACACGTCCTTGTATGTATTGTTAAATTTAAATTGATCTATATTTTGATTTTTGGTACTTCAAATTAATCTGATCAACTTAGATGTGTGCTATCATTTGTGTAATCCAGTGTTTCAAAACACATATTAGTGGGGCAATGTCGTCCACCCACATATATGTGCCGGATCATTAGATTGGCGACCGAATCGAGTATGGATCAGACTGAATTGCTGATCCAGAAAAATGTTAATAATAAAATTAAAATAAGGGTTTATTGGGTGGGTACATAGAAAGGACCCAAAAAAAACATTAACTAAATTTTTTTAAAAAAAAGGGGAAAAGAAATATAAATGGGAGTTTTAGGGGGGACTGGGCCATGACCCATACCATTGATCAATCATCGATTCCCATCAGAATCAGCGATCCAAATTGAAAATCATTGGATTTTACAACACTGGTTTGATGAACACAAATGATTGTTAGATCAACCTTTTTGTTTGCTGGTGAGTTAGGGCAATTTGAACTATTTCGATTAAAATTTCCAACCAAAAGCATTTAGAATGACTGAAATGCACTTGCCTATTTCTAAATATAGTTAAGACAGAGATCATTGACATTTCACCTCAATTATCCTACAAAATCTTGCCCATCAAATGTACTTATGGTCCTTTGTGAGGTTCTCTTTTTCAAGCACTCCCACCTGCTCCACTGTAACAAAGTAGATAAACAGTGATATTTCATTTCTATAAAGACCCGAATTAATTGAAAAACTTAATGCAACTTGATGAATAAGCAAAATTATGCTCCCGTGAGTTTTTGCCATGGTTAACTGAGAAAAAGAGATCCTTTCCCAGTATTTTTCTCAATAATTTTCCAAGATATTTGTTTCTCTGTGACCCCCAATTAACATCCTATAATTTTCAGCCAAAAGGCAATTCAATCTAGGGTTTATAGTTGCCAAAAGGGTCTAAAAAGAGTGCAACTCTGAGACTTCTTTAACAAGTGTCTTACTCAACCCAATGTAATCCTAGGGATATTTACCCAAAACATGACTGATATATTCACCGGAAAATTATGTCAAAATATATATATATATATATATATATATGTTTGTGTTTTGGGTGCCAGACCATTTGTGCAAGGTGGTCTCATTGAACCACCATAGCAGTGATATTTTTTATTACAACGGATATGCCTGTAGCTCCGTCTAACTTTGCCTTGAGAAAACAGAGTGCCACTACCGCCCTCATTAATGAACGCTTTAAAAGTAGAAAAAGACCCGTTACCAAATACAATGACTTTCTACAGACGATCCAGATTTCTTGATGAAGGCTATAGTTTTTAGTTTTTACCACTATCAACACATTGGAGGATAGATTGGGCTTGGGCTTCAATGGCTTCTCGGGTCGCGGTCCAATTAATTCTGATCCAGGTCAAGACATAAAATAACCATAATAATCATACATATATAAAAATATAAATGTAGTAAATATTTATTTTTAATATGCAAATATATTGTATCGGGTTTGACCCTGAGCCAAACCCAAACCTACCCGAATTTCTCAGGATTGGAGCCATACCTGATCCGGGTAGTCAAATGGACCTGAACTCAGTTTGCCCGATGCATTCCGGATTCTAACCTAGATGGACTCGACCCATGTGCCAACGCTAGTGTAATGTTAAAAAGAGATAATATCGCGACATCCCATACTGGTGATTAAAAGGTTGAATGAAGTAGAGTACACATCCCGGATCCGCAAAATCTATACCATTTCAAAAGCTTGACTCAGGTTGAGTACTCATCCCAGATCCGCAAGATCTATACCATTTTTTTAGTTTCAAATGTTATCATCGGATAATTGATTTTAGAGCCATTATGGCGATTTCTTTTGTCAAAAGTGCTTTCAGGACAAGAATTTGAGGTGAGGCTTTATTTGGCTTTTATAGAGCCTAGGCCCTATAGAAACTTCATCCATATATTATAAATAGAGTATCACAAAATAATTGAAAAGCTACATAGCATTCCTTAAAAAGTTTTGCTGCAACAAGCATGGCAAGAGTAGAGATCATGAGAGCTCCACAGGTGCAAGAATTGGCAAATGTAGGTCAAGAGGTTCCCCCCATTTTTATTTGCAAGGAGGAGGATGGACCCTCTCCCTTCTCTATTGATTCCAACATACCCATCATAGACATGAGCGTCATCTTATCACCACCAAAACCATCATCTCCATCATGGAAAGATGCAAGGAATCAAGAGAAATCCAAGCTAAAAGCTGCACTTCAAGATTGGGGCTTATTTCAGGTTAGTAAAAGCCCATTAGATCTTGAATACTTTTGATTTCTTGGACCTTGTATATCCCCAATAGTTTGTAATTAATCACAATAACCAACATCACACACACAACTCTAATACATTGATTCAATATACCATAGCTGAAAACATCGGAATCGGCGCCTGTATCAGCAGGGGTCTGATTCGGAAAAGAACTGCAAGTGTCAAGGGGACAATAAGAAAAACTGGGTAATTATGTGGATCTTTCCATCCAGAATCTCCTGGCTCAAGATCCCGATCCGACTCGGGCGATCCCCAGTCGGACCGGCAATTTATTAATCATTGTTGTGTACTATGAACATTTTTTATATGTTGTATAATTCCATGGAAGAGAGAGAGAGATTGGTTAAAGTTGGGAAGTGTGCAGGCTGTGGGGCATGGAATTTCTGAGGATTTGATGGGGAGCATGAGAAGAGCAGCAAAGGGTTTCTTTGAACTGCCATTGCAAGAGAAGATGAAGGTGGGGCAAGGGCATGAAGGTGATCAAAAGAAGTGGGTAGAAGGCTATGGGCATGATCCTGTACAGTCCCCAGACCAAATACTGGACTGGTGTGATATGCTCTACCTCCAAACCTTCCCTGAAAATCATATAAACCTTCAGTTTTGGCCACATAAGCCCTGTGATTTTGGGTAATCTTTTTCTTCGCTTTTATGTTTCTGTCTCCTATGTAAGCAAAAAGTTTATATAAGGTGTCAACCTTATACTGTACGAGTACGGTGCATCTAAAAAACCCACTAGAGAAGGATGTTCTTCTGCTGGAAAACCCTCAAATCGATCATCTCGACCTTGAGATTCGTAGACATGAAAAAGAGGGATTTTTACTTCTAAAAGTAGTTCATCTTTTAACATATCATTTGGACCATCCATTTTCAAGATTTTTAAGTGTTGATAGATATTGACCATCACCATTTATGAAACTTGAAATTTCATAATTGAGAGCAACAATAAATTTTCATTTCATTGCAAAGCTTCGCGGCACCAAAACTGTATTTTCAGCATAGTTTTGAGGTGCACCTTACTTCATTAAGTTGGCACCTTATACAAAATAGGACATTATTTGATAGAAGTGTTTGTTCCCTCGTAAAATGCCAAAAGAATTAGGCCAAATAAGTGGGAAGTTTATGGGGTCGATGAATTTTCAACCTAGATACAAAAAAAGTGATGAACAAATACCATAAATTTCAAAGAAACAACGAAATTCATACTTCGAATTTTTGTCCTAAGCTTTTTTTTACATCACAATCTAGTTTTCCACCAAAATATTCATTACCCAAGAAAAAAAAAAAAAAAAGGAAAGGAAGAAGGAGAAGAAGGAAAAGTATATACAAGGAGAGCATCGTGCCCATCTCCATCGAATCCACTTATTCCACACAGCTCACATGAACCGCTTGCAATCATGATTCAGTAAGGGAACGAAGGGACGAGAGCTCGACCAGCCAGGTAGAGGGTGGCCATCGATCAATGACATTTACTTTTAATAAACAAGGTCACAATTCTTTTTGTCTATCGGATTTCAAATTAGATATATTTGAATGTATCATTTATTAGACTCAAATTTCAAAAAAAAAAAAGAAAATCGAACTTTGTGACACCTCAAGCCATCCAACATGACATCTAATAGTTATTATCAATTGTGACCTTGTAACAAAGATAAATGATCCCATAATATACAATCTCAAGACAAAATCATTTTCGTTTATTAAGCAGTGGTTGTTGCAGGGCGATCATGTATGAAATGAGGTTGAAAGTGAAGGAGTTTGCAGACAACACACTTAGGGTCCTTGCAGAGATTATCAGATTGGAAGACGATTGCTTCACCAATCATTTTGATGATGAGGCCACGATGCATGCTCGTTTCAACCCAGTCCGACAAGGTCCTCGGCCTCAAAGCCCACTCTGACTCCTCAGGCATCACCATCCTCATGCAAGACCCCCATACACAGGGCCTCCAAGTCCTCAAGGATGAGACATGGCACCAAATACCTGCCCTCCCTCATGGTCTCCTTGTTAACATTGGTGATCATTTAGAGGTAGGCAAACACTGCATAACATTGATGGTTCTTTGCTAATTTAGGGAATAATTTAGAATTTTGGAAAAGGTTTATATAGGTTATAACCTTATTTACAATAGTAAGATTGCTATAATTTATACAATTCATTTTATTTGGACAATATAGATTTGACACTATATTAAAAATGTGTTGCTTTTTACATTGTTTCAAAAGATATGTCAAATCTACAATGCCTAATTAAAATGGAGTGTAGAGTGGCACAACTTTACTTTTATAAGTAAGATTGCATACTTTATAAACCGCACCAAACAAAACTAATCCTACAGCTCAGTTAGCCAACAAAAAAACTGAGGGTCTTTTCATCTTTGGACGCGGTTAGCATATGCGGCCAAGCCCGCACATGTAGAAATGCGAGCTTAACAATAAATACATTTTTAAAATATAATTTGATCCTAAGTAATAGAGAATATATAATTTTTAACACGGCGATCATGAATCTGAATAAATAAATAAATTTTGAAAACTAAAACTAATAATTATATTAAGAAAATATTTGGACCGTTAGTTACAATTGTTTTTAGATGGACCACCTATTTGCATCCATTTTTAAGATAGATGTTTTATACTTCTGGATCGTATATTGTAGAAATGCGGTCCAACCCGCATGAAACAATTGTTGTCCATCCTTTACTATGTCAAAAATGATATATTCTACATTCCAAATAATGTATAATACCACATACCTGACTCTCATAGAAACACGTTAGGGCTTGTCCACCCAGTGTTCGCAAAATCGAATCAGAATGGTTAACCGGACTTGGGGTAAGAAGCAGTTTAACCGGCCTAACCAGTAAACCGGCAAATTTAATCGTTATGACCAGGCAAGTCTTGGACAGTCAACAAATTGTTGAAAAAATTAAAAAGATATAAAAAAATCTACTAAATTATGAAAAACATATAAAGAGTAATTAAAACAAAATACATTTAAATGAAGTTGAAAGTTAATGGAAAAGATGGAAATTTGTGCCTAGGGGTATTGTTAAAAAATTTCAAAAAAAGATAGAAAGATATAAAAGTGAGCATCAATGACCAAAACGATTTTTAATATTTACCATAATGTAAAAAATATTGAAAAAATGTATTAAAAACCAAATTCCTTATTTTTGAGATTTTATTGATATTTTTTTGAATTTTTTTATTTAAAAATATCGACTGATCATCAAAATCGTCCGGTAACCGGAACCAACAAAGGTCCTGTTTCGATCTCGATCTAACCGGGTGGTTACCGGTTAGATCACCCAATTTTTCTAACTTTGTAACATGTGCTACACTTGTTTTAGGTAATTTCGGAATACCTTTTGGGGCCTTTTAAGTGGACGGGCATGAAAACCCACTCCATTGTATGGGGAAAAATAAAGAAAAACAAAGAAAAGAGAGAACGAATTTGTATAAACTCTCAGCCAATGTTTAAACTTTAAAGGGTGCAGTTTGTAGTTTAAAGGGTGCAGTTTGTATAGAGTCAGGGCTTTAAACAATCAAAGTAAAGCGCACCTTCAAATGGTATCGAGAAATGTGGTTTCAATATTAGAAATCTTTTATATAGCCTCAAAATATGTTTTCATTTTTAATTATAAAATTTAAAGCTTCAAAAATAGTGTAGATCAAGCAGATGTATAAAAACTTGAAAACCTTGAAAATTGACGGTCCAAAAATACGTTACAAGATGCATTATTTTCAAGACTTGAAATCCATTTTTTTTCTGATGTCCATGCATCTTGATGTGAAGATGTTCAATATGAGGATATTTGGGCATCAAAACAACGTCAACTACTAAAAAAAATTTATGTGGGCTCTAATTCGATTGTTTAGAGCCTCAGCTCTATATAAACTTTTTCCATGTTTAAAACCCAGCTGAGGAACCTGAACTGGGGGGCTGCTGGGTTTGAGTCGAGGTTCAAGTTGGACGTCAAGTCGGCGAGATGACCAGTATTAAAAGAAAAATAGAGAAAAATGACCAAAAACTACATAAAATCTGACTATTCAAAATCAAAACACTTATTTCATATTTTAGGAAGTAAATCAATATCAAAATAGAAAAAATATAAAATATAAAAAGAAAATGAAACAAGTAGGAATGAAAATTACAGAAAAATAACCCAAAATAACAAAAAATCAATCTTCAATATTTTTTGCCCTGATTCAAAAAAATTGTTTGGCCATTTGTAGACATTGTTAGAAGAACAGTTTAGGATGAACTCGTTTGGTTATACAAAACTGAGAAATAGAAAATTATTCCAGGTTAGAAAACACCCAAAATTTGTAATGTAGATCTCTTCAAACAACAAATTCAGTCCAACAAATCATGATATATTTTTATTAAGAAGGGTCTAAAAAGTCAAACAAATTTCAGAAATTTTGGCGGAGAATCAAAGAGAAATAGATAAAAACCATGTTGGGTTTTGAGCTTCGAAATGGCGAGTTTTTTATCATAAAAATCTCTCCCTAAAATAGTTTGGATCTCAAATTGATGTTTGTAAATATGAAAGCAGGCTAGGAAAATACTAATATGTGAAATTTTGGAGAAAAAGAAAGAGTTAAAAATGCCATTTTTTAATGAATATAAGAAAACAAAAACAAAAACAAAAACTAAAAAACAAAAAAACAAAAACTAAAATAAAAAAAACTAACCTAAAAATTCCATTTTTTGAAAGCCAAACTTTTGAAGAAAAATGAGATTACTTAACAGACAATGCTATCCTCACAAGCCATTTTATGCGATTTGTGTAAGGCTGAGGCCCTAAATAATAAGGGTAAAGCACACCTTCAAATAGTGTTGACATACATTGTTTCAATATAAAAAATCTTTATCATAGCTTGAAAATTTATTTTCATCTCTAATTATAAAATTTGAAGATTCAAAAATAATGTAGATTGAGCAGATCTATGAACACTTAAAGATCTTGAGAAATTGACGGTCTAGATAATATATTACAAGATGCACTATTTTTTAGATTTGAAATTTATTTTTTTTTATGTCCATAAATCTTGAAGTTAAGATGATCAAATTGAGAGTTTTTCAGTACCGAAACAACCTCTTCTCGTAAATTATTGAGGTGTGCCTTAATTTGATTGTTTAGGGCCTCACCCTTATATAAACCTTTTCTTAAAAACATAACATCCCATAGTTAGACTTAATGCAAATATATGCTTGCTAGTATTACAATAAACCATTTACTTTTGATACAAGGATGTCATAATCATCATTGATCATTAAATTTGATATCTGGTGGTAGAGGATGTGTCATTTTTTAGGTACAAAGTTTAAAACATGACTCTCATATATTGGATTTCACATTCATTGGTTAAAAGTGATTGTGACCTCTTTGTATAAAAAATAAATGATTTTATAGCATATATTCCAAAATAATTTTCCACCATCAAAGTTGATTTTTTCTTTTCTTTTTTTTTTATGTAGATAATGAGCTGGGATATTCAAGAGCGCAGTGCATAGGGTCATGAATAAGGAGAGGCCAAGGTTGACAATGGCTATGTTCTACTCCATGGCACCTAACAAAGAATTGGTTCCTTTGCACGGACAGGAAGAGGAGGGTACACCACCAATCTACCAAACCATGACGGTTAAAGATTATTCCCACTTGTTCGTGGATTGCGTTAGTAAAAGAAAGAGGGCCATAAACATTATCAAGATATCTTATTAATTTTTTTTTGGGTAATTCAATGGAGAAAATAGGCCCTACCCATTTTTATAAATAGATTAGGAGTTAGTTTTTTTAATGTAAGATATCTTATTGACGATTTATTTATGATCTCATTTAGGATATAGTTTGGATATAACTTTTAATAGAGCAGAACATAGAACCAGAATTCATGTAGCCACTAGCCGACCCTAATTAATTGAAAAAATGTTAAAATGATGATGATTTTATTGATGAATCATTTATTTTACATTAATCTATTATATACTAAAAAATTATTCAATAATAGCCGCTAACTTTTTGATGTAAGGAAGTCATAATCTCAAACTTTAGACATATCTTAAGGGTCAGATTTCACATTTAATAGCTCAAAATGATTATGGCATCCTTATAAATGGTCTTATTGTATTCAATCACATACTGTGCCGTTATATTTTGAGGCTCAAATCCAAAGTTGAAATGCACTTCTGCATCCAGGTTTCATTAATGTGAGTAATTTTCGACACGACCTTTTTTTTCTTTTCATAAACTCGAGAAATTGAGTCTACACTATATTACTTCAAGTTTTTTATCTTTCGGTTTACGTACCAAAACAAAACAAAAAAAGAAAATAGTAAATCCTTAATAATCAGGAAAAAGCTCTATTGACGACGATAATAATAGTGGCTCAAAGTGATTAGGGTGTAGGATCAACACCAAGGCTCAACAAAAATAGTCATGAAAATCATATTCGCTAAAGGGAAAGGTTTTTATACTTTTTCTACATCATAGAAGATCTATGCTTCCTTTACCATCTAGCTGTTCAATTTTGATCAAGAGAGTTACTCACCGTTTGATCTTAGATTCGACGTCTCAAGGTATTTTATTTTTATTTTTATAGAAATTATATGAATATGAAATTTGGTGTGTGCCATGTTCTCTTTCGGGTGCACCTATAAAAAATATTAAAAATAATTTTTCGATTTCAAGGGTATTTTGATCATTTTATTTTATTGAAAATATTGTTTTTATATTTTTCGCTCGTGCGAGTTTAATAACGGATTGGACCTACAAAATTTGGTATTAAAACAGTTTGAAGAAAAAAATTTAAAAATAAAATAGTGTAAAGACGTGACATTGTGATTGGGACAATCTTAGCCCTCCATTCAGAATGGACGGTTGGATAAGGAGCAGTATATAAGTTTTATATTGTAGGGAAAGCACATAAAGCTTGCCCTTCGCTAAAACAGCGAAGCATTCAATGCCCACCTTGTTGGGTTGCAAATTCCAATTACTGAATGCAATCGAACCGGAACGATTAATCATACATGGGACTGAAAGCGGTTCAAGCTGCCTAACTCATAAACCGGCCGATTCAACGAACCTAACTGGGCAAGTTCCAGACAGTCAAAAATGTGTTAAAAATTAAAAAAAAAAATACAAAACAAAATATAATAAAAGATGAAAAGTATATTTAAAGTATGATTAAATAAAGCAATCTAAATGAAGTTAAAAATTAATGAAAAATGGATATTAGAGAATCTATTTGAACCCATGTGTGTTTTTCAAATTTTTCAAAAAAGATAGAAAAATATAAAAATAAGTATTAATGGGCAAAATAATTCCAACCTTTACCATTATAATGAAAAACATTAAAAAATAGTAATAAACAAAATCTCTTATTTTTTTGGATTTCATATAATTTTTTGAATTTTTTAAAATACCCGGCCGGTTCATAACAACGAGCCAAAACCGGAACCGACCAATGTTGATCTAGTCGGATATAACCGTGTGGTTAGGATTTGAATATCCCAATTTTTCCTAAACTGAATAGGAATGTTTGTGGTGACCCTGAAGAGCCTTGATTTTCAAGGTTTTAGGATCGTCTACCTAAATCACTTCAGACCTATTTCCACTGCAGATCCAGAGTTTCAAAAAATAATGCAAAGCTGATGATCTTGAAGAATTGAAATAAACGGTCCAAAAATAAAAGGGCAAGCTGTCTATGCTTCCCCTACAACATAGAAGTTCTATCTCCCCTTTATCCAACCGTCCATTCTGAATAGAAGGCTAAGATTGCCCCAATTACAATGTCACATCTCTACACTACTTTATTTTTATTTATTTATTTTATAAATATTTTGATATCAAATTTTGGATGTCCATTCCTCTATTAAACTCGTACTGGCAAAAAATATTAAAACAAATATATTTTCAATAAAATAAAATGACCAAAATACCTTTGAAAGTTTTAAGAGGTATTTTGGTCATTATATTTTATCAAAAATTTATTTTTAATATTTTTTTATAGGTGCGCCCCAATGAGAATATTACACCTACCAAATTTCATATTCATACAATTTGTATAAAAAAAAAACTAAAAAAAAAATACTTTGAGACATCAAATCTTAAGATCAAACAGTGAGTGACTCACTTGAACAAAATTGGACGGCTAGATGGTAAGGAGAGGATAGAACTTCTATGCTGCAGGGGAAGTATAAAAGCCCTTTCCAAAATAAAATACTCTATTTCTAAGGCTCAAAATACCATTTTTCTTCTAGTCAACATTCTTTATCATGTTGTCGGCAACATAATTAATACAACACCTTTAAAACACAATTTTTTCCAAAAAAATCTTTGCTTTTTTGAAATCCATTAAGAATTATGAGTTTCTTAAAATATCTTCAAAAGTCGTTTTTTCTTAATGGAATCGATATAAATTCATAATTTTTTATTTTTCAAAAAAAAAATTCAAAAAGTCTTTTCGTATAACTTTATTGAAATTCTTGTTCTCTACATCGATTTAATATCTTCGAATTTTGGTTCAGAGATTTCTATAAAAAAACTTTCTTAAACAAAGTCTATTGAAAAAATATGAGCAATATATTCCTAAAAAGTAATCTATCAACCATAAAATATAGGTATAGCTTGACGAGGAGTAACCCAGTAAAAAATCTTCTTTTTCTCTAACCTAGAGCGTCAATATAAAGAGCAACAAAGATTGTTTGGAAGCTAGAAATTCAGTGTGGGATTCAGGTACTTAGATTCGCTCAAGTACTTTGTTGCATTCATTCTATAGTTAGATGTTTGATTAATTTCAGCTTTTGAAACTTTTTTATAATTTCATTGGTATAAAGCAAAGAATTTTTGGTTTTTGTATTTTAGTTAACTGCTATCCTATACTGAAGATCTTTTGTGTTTATTTTTTCTCATAATAATCATATACATTGGGTTATAGTTCTTGTTATTTGCTAGTGTAATTTTAGTGTTTAGTATTGTTGTTTGATTATATGCTCATAATAGGCTATTATATGTTTTGTGCGTGACAATAGAGTAAACATTGTTGTCGTATTTATTAAAACTTTAGACAAAAATTTGCCAAGCATTAACCTAATGAAACTAGGTAAGGAGATAAAATTATTGTTCAATAGCTTTAACGTATCTATAAAACAACTACATATTATTACGGCTAGATACTCGGTAAACCTCTATCGAGACTGTAGCCATAATATATATCAATAATCATATCATGTGTGATCGTTTCATATCCAATTTTTTTATTTCATATTTTTTAGTCAAATCCAAAATACTCATGATACTTCAACTCACTTAATTTTGGCAATCCGCATTTTTTGACCCCATCTCTAACTTTATGGAATAAAATCAATTTATTACTAATATTTTGGAAGTTGCAAGTACAAAAATAGGTGAAACCTTACCTTTATTTAATAATGTCAAAAAATAGGAATAATGGCCGTCGTTATGGAGAAAAGTCAACCCTTTTATAAATTAAGCAGTGTACTGTTCAAATCTTTAACTTTGGTTGTCACTTTTTAATTGCTTATCCCATCTATTCCTTTATTTCTACACTTTGCTCCATTTATCCGTTTAATGGGTCAAAACTGAATTTCCAAATGTAATAGTTTTTAACTAAAATAGAAATAAGTTTTGAACCTTACACTACCTTACATACTTTTTTTTGTGTATGTAGGGCTAGGAATGAGCTGGGAAGCCGGCCTAGCCCTAAAAATTAGGGCTTGGGCCGAGGGCTAGACCATGCTTTTTTAGGGCTAAAAGCTGGCCCTAAAAAACTAGGTGGGGTTTTGACCAGGCCAATGCGGGCCACGCCGAGCTGGCCCGGCCCATTGCCAAGCCAATGTGTGTGGGATATATAATACATGATCAGCAGATCCTATTGTGTTAGTATGACATATGGTGGATATGGAAGATGAGCCATTGTCCGGATTTAATAGAAAATACCAAGAATTATGACTAATCTACCCCCTCAATTTTGAGAATGGAAGGTACATAGCATACACATGATGTGGAGGGTGCACTACCCTTTTCAAATTGATTGTGCTTAAGTGTTTACCGGGTGTACGTTCCCTTTTTAAATTGATTATGCTTAATTATGGTGTACAATCCAGTGATCATGACATAGAATTCCTGAATATGTATTGGGAGAATCCTTTCATGTGAGCTAGACCGCATTTCTACATATACGGTATAGAAAGTGTAAAGCATCCATCTTAAAGATAAATGAAAGTAGGTGTTCCATCTAAAAACAATGGAAACTAACGATCCAAATGCTTTTTTATTAGAATTATTATTTCTAGTTTTTAAAACTTATTTATTCATTCATATTCATGATCTCCATGTTGGTTATTACATGTCCTTAAAAATTAAGTCTTAAAATCCATCTAAAAAATAAATTTGTTAAGAGGCCCACTTTTTTTACACATGTGCGTTTGGCCGTATAGAAACCGGGTCTTATGTATTATTGGAGTTGGTGTGGATGTACAAAACAATCGACACTGCAAAGTTTATAATAAGGTCATTCACTTTTGGTACAAAAATGTTACAATCACTTGAAAACAATTAGATTTGAAATCGAACAACTAGCAATATGCCATTAATTGACCTCAAAATTCAAAATATATATATATATATATACTCTTTAAACGTTGCGATATATCCAAAGTTGTTCAATTTGACATTGGGATGAGATTGATTGTAACCTCCTTATGCCAAAAAGATAAATACTCTGATGATGTACAATCCATTATAATTTTCAGAAAACAAAACATTAAAGCAACGAAGGAAATTTGAAAACAAAATTATGATT